AAGTGCAAATAAATATTTTACATGGTATAAGCTGTCTCTTATACACATCTAGATGTGTATAAGAGACAGATTCATGAGGTATGTACCATGTGTTTGAACATAGACAAAAGAAAATATTTCTTTTGTCTATGGTTTGAAAGGGGAACTCCGGGATTAAAATTGCTATGGACATAGCTATAGATCATTTAGTTTTGATGTAACTGATGAAATTTCACAACATTTGGACAATGATATAACAAAAATAAAACACTTTGGCCTAAATCAAAAGTGATGCTACTACTCAAATTACACATTGTTAAAGAATAGAAAAATTAGGGACTCAACTTTGCAACACGTTTTGCAACATATATCACTGTTGAAATGTTGTAAAATGTTATGTATTAGATCACAACTAATGGTTCTACACATCCATCAAAATTTTATTCCAGGAGTTGCCCTTCAAGCAGCTTGTACTTTTTCGATTCCATTTAAAAAAATGAATTACTGAAAACCCTTTGTTTCCGCGGTCTGTTGTCATCGTCCATGATTCCGTATCGGAAGAAAAACAAGTGAATTTTGACAGCATTATCACATGTGTTTCTTGCCGATGCGAGAGAAATCAAAATGGAAGCAATGCTGAGGCCCACTTTACCGCTGGTTCCTGGACGGTTCCCGGCCTGTTCGCTAGCGACGAAAGAGAGTGATTTTGTTTTTTTTGTCGTAATTTTTGTCGTTTTTTTTGTCTTTTTTGAAGAAATAAAAAATAAAAAAAAATCAGAGACGGCAGGAAAATCAGGGTCGGGCGCTGACGCTTAACATTTACTTGGCCTTACAGAATAAAATTGTCACACTGCTAGTTCAATTTTATGTGGCTAATAACCTTTCCAGCCCTTTATTGATTTTTGTTTTTAATTTTCAAAATTTGATGTTTAAGCTTCATTCTTTTTACAATAATTACAGGATGCTGCTGATTTGGATAAGATGACTGCAACTTCAAATCTGGAGCCCCCACATTTAGTTATTTTCACAAATGGTGATTTTACGATACAGCAGGCAGTTGTGTGTGGGGATCAAACACGAATAACGTTCAACCCTGAGGAATCAACAGATGCACTGTTGTTGCTACTTGGAGTGTATTATGTCTTTGATCTTGAGTACCCTAAGATCTGTCTCTTATACACATCTCACATATATATTTATATACATTTTTATAATGTATTTATACTGCTAGTCCATGTTTCCCCCATTGCTTGGAGAGCCACTCAGACAGTAATTTATTTTACTTTTTGGTAATCCTGCCGGCTCTTGGGGGAAACATGGATTACTTTTCGAATTTTCTGAATATTTTACTGTATTGTTATGATAAAAAAAAAGGCGAAATAAATGAAATGAAATGAAATGAATATATATATATATACACTATATGCATAAACCATATAATGTACAGCTGCTCTTCATTTTGAAATACTGAACACGCCCTCTATTTAGTTTCAAAAGTTTTGCATACTTACAACAACATTGGTAGTATAACATGGTTTAGAGATTGACAAAAATTTACCACAAAGTTTTATTGTGATTCTGTGAGAAGTTCATAGTAATAATTAACAAATAATAAATATGTATCATTTATTTCACTAGTAAAACAACAAAAATGTATGGCTGACTGATCGGATTGCACAAAACCAACACAAAGTTACTGTCACTGGGCTCTTCTGGCAGCATATACAGTACAAAAATAACATGATACGTTCGAGTATATCAAAATATATATAATTATAAATAAACCTCTCTTTTAACCATTTGAATTAACAGGTGTTTTATATTGTATAACATATCTCAAATACAGTATATTATATTGTGTTTTTTTTAGGCACTATATAACCATAAAGAGACCCATCCCTCTCAATGGTTAATGGATTTTACTTTAACGGTCAACGACAACCGAGTGTCTACAATCAACGCCTTTACAAAAAGTAAATTAAATTAATGTAATTTTTATAGTTTTAATATCAAGTTGATATTATACCATATTATACTGATTGAAATGGAGAAACTAAAGTGCTGCCTCTACCTGTTTCTGTTTTATTATGTTTTAATATCCCGAATTTGACTGCGACATTGTTTCGACATCAGTGGGTGTGGAACCCTGTTCTGAACACCTAAACTGGTTAACACACTTTGCATATCCGAACTGTTTTTAGTTTAAGTAGTTTAAGTCAAAATTATTTACTGCTTGTTGTTGTAGTTGTAAAGCACATTAAGGCTTTTCTCTGCGGAATGCGCTATAGTGACGCTATTATTATTATTCGGAAAACATTATTGGATTTATAATAGCTTTTATATTCAATAATTGGACGTTGAGGGATAGGCTATACCCATAATCCCTCAGCATATATTTTTATTTCATGTTATGCATACAACTTACAAAGTGATGTCACATGTAGGTCAAATCTTAATTTCATTGGGTTCAGTGTGAAATCCAGATTGCAACGCCTATTATGTATACATAGGATAATTTCCATTCGACGTCTCAGCATATTATTTTTTCTGGCTCACAAGTAATATTTATATGTAAAGAAGTCTCAATTTTAACTTTTTTATATTAACGATGTACTGTGAACATCAACGATAAAACTGTTGCTATTTATCTTGATTGGTGGCGCTACGCATATGTTTATATCCGACTCTAAAATAAATATTATTCAACAGATCACAAACCAAGTATCCGTAAAGGCTAATTCCCGGATTCAAAAACGTAGCCTACTTGTCTTGCAGATATCCAAACCTAAATAAACATCTTTTAGCCTAAGACTACATCAAAATATGACAAACTTTGAAATTGATAAACTGAAAAAATTATTGTTATTTAAGGAAAAATTACAATAAATATGATTTATCTGAAAAGAATCAAGTTAATACATAAATGAAAGAATGAATAATTTAATGGAAAAACAAACTACTTTGAACATCAACGATTAAACTGTTGCCATTTACCTTGATTAGTAGCGCTACGCATTATGTTCATATCCGACTCTAAAATAAATATTTATTTAACATATCACAAACCAAGTATCCGTAATGGCTAATTCCCGGATTCAAAAACGTAGCCTACTTGTCTTGCAGATATC